CCTTCTAAGTGGGTTTGAGTTATATACACTTGGGTCTTCCTTCTGGTTACACTTCCCACGGTCTGTGAGTTATATCATGGATTTTCTGAACTTTTTTTTTGCTAATATCCACTTATCAGTGAGTATATGCCATTCATGTCCTTTTGGGTCTGGGTTACCTCACTCAGGATGCTATTTTCTAGTTCCATCCACTTGCCTGCAAAACTCAGGATGTCCTTGTTTTTAACAAGGACACATGTTCCACTATGTTCATTCTATTCTTGATATGGTAAATTTTGCTTACTTTTACAAATGATACTTGGTTTTCTTTTATTCTTCGAGTCATCATACATTCTGTTTTTCCAGTCCATATTCTCTGCTGCCCAAATTATCCACTAGTGATAATTACATTCATTGGGGCTAATATAGCATCAGTTGGCAGGATCTCTTTCTTAGTTAGGAAACACCATGACATTCCATGACCAAAACCAAAAACAAGTTGGAAAGGAAAAGGATTATTTGGCTTACATTTCCACATTGTGGTCCATCATTGAAGGAAGTCGGGGCAGGAGCTCAAACAGGGTAGGAACCTGGAGGCAGGAGCTGATGCAGAGGCCAAGAAGGGTGCTGCTTACTGATTTGCTTCCCTTGGGTTGCTCAGTCTGCTTTTTAAAAATAGAACCCAGGACTACTAATCCAGGGATGGCACCACCCACAATGGGTAGGGCCCTCCCCCACCAATCACTAATTATCAAAATGTTTACCGGCTTATCTACAGCCTGATCTTTAGAGGCATTTTCTTAATGGAGGTTATCATCCCTCAAACGACTCTAGCCTGTGTCATGTTGACATAAACTAGCCAGCAAAGCCTCCACTCATTAAGTCATTCAGTGACTCTAAATTAGGTTACATTTCCTCATGGGCTACTTTAGTCCTTTGTCCTTTTTCCCTCCTTCTCTCCCTCCCTCTTCCTTCACCCTCTTTCTCCTGCCCATCTCTACCCCCCCCCTTTTTTTTCTGCAGGAGTTCTTCTCTTTGTAGTCCTGGCTATCTTAGACTAGACTTAAAGATCTTTACCTGTCTCTGCCTCCCAAATGCTATGTCATTCATAACACACAACCGCGCACGCGCGCGCGCACACACACACACACACACACACACACACACACACACATTTTTGTTTTTTGAGACATAGTCTCTCTGTCCTGGAACTCACTATGTAGACCAGGTTGGTCTCGAACTCACAGAGCTCCCACCTCTGAGGTCTGCTTCCCAAGTGCTGGGAGTAAAGGCATGTGTGACAGCTCGCAGTATCGAGCTCGGGTATAGGCCTGGGGGATTAAAGAAATACTCAGACTCTGGTCATCTGTTGTGAGAGAATGCCAATGCCTTTACTGGGCAGGTTCAATATATACACCAAGCCAGGGAAGGAAAAATACAAACTCAGGAGAAAACAGGAACTCAACTAAAGGGCAATAGTATGTGAAGTGTAAATTCCGTTCCTGGGGCACCATGCCTTAGTCAGGATGTTTTGATCCTAGAGGAACTGCAGAATGTTACTTAATAGACAGCGGCATAGGAAAGGCTCAGCCAGGGCATAGCAGCCCTCCGGGGTCTTACAGGCACGCACCACCATAAGCTACTTATATGTGCTTTCTATTTAATGTTTCTCTTCTCTGTAAATGGTAAGGATCCTGTTTTAACTTCACTATGGTATAGGTGAAAAAATAAACACATTTTCAAAAAAGTGACTCATTTTTATTTAATAACTTTTATTCATTTATTTTCAAAAGACATTTGTTTCTTAGCAGCATTTTTTGAATTTATCAAATGAAGGAATCTTCAAGTTGATTTGAGTTGTCCTATAATAATCTTGCTTATAAAAGAATGCTTTGCACAAAACCTAGACAGTCTTTGACATTTTGTCCACGAATGCTCTGGAGAGTCAGAAGGCAAAGGTTTAGTTTTGAATGAAGTAGGTAGAACTTAGTTAGATGGTCCATAAAGATACTTATTATTGGGAAGAATTTGAGGTTAAGTTCTCCTTACTCTCAGCCAACAAAGCTCCAGTCTTAATTAGCTAGCTGCATAGTGACACTGAGAAGTTCTCAAGTTTGACTCCACTCACCTTGTACATAAACACCATGCTACAATATAAATGAATCAAGCATGGAAAACGCTATAATCAGAAGAGCTCAAGAAACGGCTCAGCAGTTAAGAGCCCTGGCTGTGCTTGTGGAAGATCCCCGTTGGTTCCCAGCACTAACCGTATGGTTCCTGACTGTAATTCCAGTTTCAGGAAATTCCTTCTTTCTTCTTACCTCCTTGGGCACCAGGAACATATGTAGTGCACATACATACACGCAGGCAAAGCATTTATATACATAAAGTAAAAATGAAACAAATTACTCCTCAACCAAAATACAAAGATATTATATTCTATCTTTTTCCAGAAGTATATAGTGTCTGAGTTGTGGTTTTCTAAATCCTTATTTATAAAGAAACTATATATATAAAATTCATCTTTGAATTATTCAGAATCAGAGATTTTATTCATTTATGGAAATTAGGATTTTTTTTAATCCTTTCTTTGGTAGTTTAGTGTAATCCACACTAGTATCTTCAGGTATTTTAATTTTTTCATTAAGGCCTAGAAAATATGAAATGTTGAATCACAGAGTTTGTCTTATTTTCTATTTCAAAAATTATAATTTAAAACCATTGTGCTCATACACAAACAGTAGTTTATTGCTATCTACAAGATTACTGATTTAGTCAAACTTTGTGTACTTATGCTGTGATTCTGTGGGAATGAAGTTCCATGTTCTTCCCGTCAGCAGCAGTGCTTCTAGGTAGGACATGGAGTATCCCTGGACTCGGTGGCTGTGGGAAGAACAGCACAATGTCCCCCATCGCTACTCTACAGCCCCACCCACAGTTCTCATCCCTTCACCCATAAGATCAGCATAAAATTGGCCCTGGCGATCAGGTTGAGGATCTGAAGATAATCCTCAGGGAAGAGAAAACTCATGCTTTGTTTGAAGTAGTAAAATTGGATTATTTTTCTCAGGTCTTTTGTTCCTTTGCAGTACACTGAAAGGTTGCTATAAATTTGTAGTTGGAATATAACCACATAAGCAGTAACTAAATTAATCCATTTCTAATATGAACGCACAGGATTCTAATACTGTTTTGCATGCTGCTGAAGGATGAGATTATTTTAATGGAAATAAATAGGATATTTTCCACTAGATGTTTAATCCAATAAACCTTTCCATACAGTCATTTGTTTCACTTCTGTGAAAGTATAGTATATAGAGAAAAAGGACGAGCAAGGGGTGTGTGAAAGCGAGCAGCTAAAGCGTACTCAGCGGAGTGCAGCCACAGTCAAGTGCACCGCCTGTGAAGATGCGGTGGATAGAGAGGGATGCTGTGTCTGCTCTGAAGCCCGTTCTGTGCTTTGTCACTAGCCTGCTTTTGTGTGACGATCTGTTTTTATTACCATCGATTGACTGTCTTACTTTATTCATGAAAATTCTCCTGCATATTTTTGTTTTATAACATTCAAATCTTAACAGCCCTTAGTTTTGGTAAAAGTACTACATAAACGTATACAACTTGGGAATGTAATTATCTACGGGATCTGCAAAATAATTCTGCCTGAGGGTTTTCAGCTGATCTTGGATGTTTTTTCACATGAATTTCAGAAATGCAAGCGTTTGCTTTATGTGGATGATGATGAATGATTGATGTTTGTCTTTGCAAAATTTTCATAAATTTCTACTATATTGTTTTATACAAGATGTCTTACATGGCCTATTTACATTGCTTTATGTGGAAAAATTTAATTCCTTAGTTATTATTAGTTTAAAATTTTTGTGGACAGCATGGTTTGTTTGTTTGAAAGTTAAAATCTTAGAAAAACAACCCCACTGAACTTACAAGTGCAAGCATTATATTAGACAGTGAATGCTTAAAGTGTTGCTACCTGTTTAATGGATTTTAGAATTAATGGTTAAGAAATTCTGCACCCTGATTTTTATTTTTAAAAATGTACTGTAAAATGGTGGTAGTTGTGAAGTAGAGCTGTAGGTGTCCACTAACTGGATACACAGAGTAGAGGCAGTCTTTGGGCCACCGAGTCCTTTACTTGGAGTGGAGTTTAGATTTTGTCAGACTGGCAGCACTTGGCGTGTTAGTTTTATCAGCAGCCTTTTCCAGAAATACTACTAACCCATTTCAGTGACCCTTTAAAATCTCATTTGAAATGTTCAGCTTTATTTTTTTGGGTAGAATTAAGAACATGGTCAAAATATTTATTAGAGCCAATTAAAGCCAACAATACTATCCTTTGCCACCTTTAAAAAGGGGACTTTAGAAATTTGAAAATAAACAACTTGTGTGAACATTATAAAGCTGTTGACTTGTTATACTGTATCTAGACATTAATATACATGTAAATTATATTTTATTTCTTAAAATATATTTGCAAAATGAAGTTTATTTTTAAAAAGCTGTCTTAAATCTGCCTAGTAGCTTGTGTATTAATTAAATATTACTTTAGAGTTTAAATATGAGAGTTTAAAACTGATATAGAGCTGATCAGACATTCTTAATTGGGATGTAAAATGGAATTTTAGGACAATTTGCTTTGGTTTAGTCTCTGAGGCTGTGTTTATTATTATTATTATACTTTCATATTTTTATTTCAATCCAATCTAGTGTTTTTATAAGTGGTTATATTGAAAATGCATTGTTTAGAACCTTAAAATCAGAGTCATGCAACTAAATAGCTTACTAAAAGGAATGGTTTTTTAATAATTTGATTGAGTTATAAATTTTATTTGACTCTCTTTCTAAGATTATTTAAACCCAATGTCAAAATATTTAATTTTATAAAAATAGAGAAATGAATTACAATTGTGTTAAAAAAATCAGAATTGATCATTATAAGAATATTAGCAAAATTGCTAATAAACATCTTCCAATTTTTCTTAATAATATATGTCAATTGTTTGCAGATCCTGTGGTATTGTGGAAATTCCCAGAGGACTTTGGAGACCAGGTTGGAAACATAATTTAAAAACATTTTAAGTTGAAATATCACATTATTACTGTATACTACTGGTACTGTATATGAATAGCTGCAATTATTTTTTTCTTGATCAACTTGGAGAAAGAAATTGTGGAAGAGTTTTTAGAAGTGATCAAATGGGTATTAACTTTGTAGACCAGGCTGGCCTTGAATTCACACAGATCCTGCTTTGTCTGTCTCCAGAGTGCTGGAACTAAAGTTGTGTACCGCCACACAGAGCATCCTCAGGGTCTTTAAACATTTTTTATTATCATTTATTCATTATGTGGAACACTAGGTTTCATTATGACATTTCAAACATATGTAAATACGCTTTGAGGATCTCCAGTCCCCTGTTGTCATAGCCTGCTCCGTCATCCACTCGTCCCAGGTCTACCCCCAATGACTCCTTCTCCTCTCGCATGTGATTTCTGTTGTCTTTAACTACTGTTAATATAAACATAATATAAATATGTAAATATAAACCTACTGAGTCAAGTTAGTGTTGCTCACATGTGTGTTTTTAGGGCTGACCAGTTGGGATTGCATCACAGATCAAGGGACTCATCCCTGGGGAAGGTTGAGTCTCTCTCTTAGAGGTCCTTAGTTGCCTATAGCTCTAAATCTAGTGGTGGGGCTTTAGGAGAGTTGGATCATCCACATTGGCATGCTGACCTCATTTTCCTGGACCAGCTCTTATTTGGACTACCATGTTGCTAAGATTTCTCCTTAATCTTAAACGCCAGCTTGGAAGTTAGTTCTAAGGCTTCTTTGAGTTTCTATGGCAACCTGTGTATGATCTTGTAGCCCCTGTTAGATACCTCAAGTCTTTCCTGTTTCCTACTTCACTGTCTCTCATTTTTTCCCTGGTTTCCACATGTCATGGTGGCTGGCACATAATAAAGTGTGAATAAATGTTTGGGTTGCTGAGTGAGTAACATATTAAAGGAAGTTGAGTAAACTCATGAGATCAAGTTATCTTGACCACAGTGGGAACAGGTAACTAATGTTCTAGGAAGGCTAGTCCAGGAGCTCTGTGTAAGCTTCAGTTTAGAAAGGTGTCAAGGGCTATGGTAAGTATGGTGGAGTTTCATTAAAGTGCGAGTAAATGATACAGCTCGATGGGGAGTTTGCAGCTTGAAGGTTAGAGTGCTCATCACTGACTCATGACAAGTTCCTGACCAGGTTCCTTCTTTCATTTCCATAGAATAACATTGCTCTTAGAAATGCTGTTGGAAAAGGGCACACACTACAGTCACTGTCATCATGTCAATAAGTTAGTAACATGCCATTCATTAGCAAGCCCTGTAGGAAGTATTTGGAAAGTTTAAATTATGTTAAGTTTATCATAGGAAAAGAAATACTTTCATGTATGCATTTCGGCTGTATCTTTTTGAGGCTTTCTAACGTGGAGGCTGCTAGCTAGCTGCCTGCCAGTCAAAATCTGTTACTTCACAGTCTTTTATGTTCAACCAAGTGTAGCTGTCTTACTGTGTGGTTTAGAAGGAATGCTTCTTAAGCATGTGACGGTTTACAGTTGTATTTATTCATTCATTTTTCTCTCCCTGTTTGATTTAAAAGGGATTTGGATAATGCAAAGATTTTCATGATTAAAACTGAGCAGCATTGGTATCTGAGTATTTTGTAATTTTATTTAGTTGTGTGAAGATTTTTATTTATGACGATCTAAATTATTCAGAAATAATTTATTGATTCTAGTATTAGGAAATGATCAGAAACAGTTATGGACTATTAAATTAATTTTAAAAACTGAGTGTTTTAAGATAAACCAGTTATCGATATGAAAGGAAAGTTTATTTCACTACTCTTATGAGAATGTATATGCATACACATATGCATATATGTTTCCGTGTATACATATGACAAATTGGTTAATTTTTAAGGATATTAGGATTTGAGAATGATATGATAATGAGAATGATTTGATAATGAGAATGGATAAATATAAAAATTTCAATTGTATTTAAAATTTTACTTTGTTTCATATTCCAAACATTTTGAAACTATTTTAGTAACCTTAAAATGCCAATTCTGTCTTGTCAGTATGCTTTTGGTAGGAATATACAGTGTTATGTTCTTGCTATGCTGCTGTGTCTCAAGAAGAGAACCAGATTGTCAACTCTTATAAGGAGATTTATTTCCTCTGCCAGTAAAATGTTAGAGAATTTAATATAAAACATGATCACACTCTTGTTTTACAGTATATTTGTTTTATTCTGAATTGTTGAAATTAAAATTTTCATTGCCAACTATAGGAAGCTAATTTCGAAAGACAATGATATTTTCTATATTTGGTTTTATTGATTAGGTATTTGCTGGCACAAATTGTGCTTTCACAAATTTGCAGTGAAAAAGTATTTAAGAAACATTTGAAGCCCTGTAAAAATGACATAACTGCTCTGCTGAAGAGTGAAAAGTTTCATTTTAGTGAGTGTCTAGAGGTAGGATCTTTATTCTTACATCAGTGAAATTATTATAACTCTGCAAATTATTTAGTCCAGATAGGAAGGCCTCACTGTGCCCTGCAGCCTATGCGAATAAAGTCATGTGTGATGCAGGTGGAAATATATACAAGTTTCTTACAGAAACATTTTTGTCAGCAAAAGTAAAGGTAGGCTTTAGTTCTGTGTGTGAGAGATGCAGAGTGGGCAAACGACTTTTCCAGAGTGAGGTCATCCTCCCAAACAGATTGAGCAGTGTGCAGTCCTGTGTGGAGGGCTGGTCAGTGTGTTTGGAACTCTACATTTAAGTTTTCATTTAAAATGAAAGAAGGTGGCGATGGTTGAATCTGAAAAGATGGAAACACAGTAAGATACCTAGATGGACTTGATGGAGATAATGACTCTTCAGACTGACATAAACGCCTTGGTTCACATGGACTGTGGTACTGTAATCAAGCTTGCTTATATCTGCATGCTGCTTTAAAAATGAGTCTTAAGAAAATTCTGTAGGTTTAAGTTGCATTGGGGAAGAGTTGAGTCCCCACTAACTGATTTCACCCTTCTGTATTTGATGATTGTTTGCTCCTTTCTCAGTGCATCCTTGGTAGGTATGCTTTTGAGAAGAATAAGGTTGCTCATTGGTATTTAAAGTTTCTGCCTGAAATACAGTTCAGAGAGCAAGTGATGGGAAGATACTTTATATTAAAAAATTTAGATTTAAAAATAATCTCTATCAGCTAAAAATACTGAACTTGGTCAACATATGGTACTAGCTACCCTCATGCCTACCAGCTCTTTTGTTATCTTGTTATTGTTACAGGGCTTAATGACAGTTGTAAGCCATAGTTGGGGATGTGGGGGTTAGTCCTCCCTGGGGAGAAGAGGAGGAAACTGCAGTGTGGATTATGGAAATATGGATTGATCTCAAAAGAAACCTCCTTTTAAAGAAAGGGACTCACTCAAAGAAAAGCTCAGAGAAACTGGTGAAAAGATGATGGAATATGATGTAAAAATGATCACTCGAAGTCTTCCTTTCATTCCCAGCTGCTGCATTTTGGAGAAAAGAAACACATTTGTATATTAAGGGAGAACTAAGAGAGCCAGATGAATGGCATTATTTATTAGGTATATTTTCATGTTGATTCAGATAAATTATGTGCATTTTAATAGATTTTACATATGCCAGACATTTTAAATTGTGAAAAGTATAATGTTAGGATGCTTAATGTGAACATTTCAAGGAGACCACTAATTTTGGCCCTTTTTATATAGACCTATTTGCAAACATCAGCTTCTGGGTTCTTATATAATATGTTGACTTCTTTAACTGCTTGTACTAGCGAATATTTTATTTAAAATGTGAATTGTTTTCTTTCCATATTATCCAAATATTATACAATTTGATGTTTATCTCATTATGTTTTATCCATGATTATATCTTATTTTGATTTATACTGAATAATAAAACATACATTTATCCTAAGCCTGCTTGCCTAGATTAAGTAACACTAAGTTCTAACAGTCATGTTTTACAAAACATAGACACAAGGATTCATGTAGCGTTACTTAGCTTTTGATATACTTGTACACAAAGAAAATCAAGCTTGTGAATTTTGAAATTCAAAACTAGTGGAGAATTAGCCTTTAAGTGTAGGACAGAGGCATCTGGAAGTGTAGGAAGACCACAGCTTTAAGGTCAAATGTTTCCCGTTTAACTATCCTAGATAGTCTACTGCAGGTAGGAGGAGGATGTAACTCCTCAGGCAAGGGTGACGTTATAGAATTCACTAGTGAAAATAAACCTAGGAATAAGGTTTAAGGACAAGGATCTCAGAGATACTTACTTCTCCAGAGCCCTCCATAGTGAAAAGGGTTACTTTGATAACCTTACCTGTTATGGCTTTTTATAGCTATTTCTATTCTGTAAGAGATGGGTAATATACTAACTTTTATGTTTTATGACTCCTGATGGCCATCTTGGGCCATTTAATGGTTTGCATTGTAAACTGAAGAATTAAAAAAGCTTCTTTTGGATTATTGATCAAATTAACTCAAGAAGAAAATTTTGACTAGATTATTGATCAGGTAGGGAATAAGGAGGGAGAAGAATTGTGTTATATATAGCTCCAAGTATTAAGATTTAGGGAATGGAAGAACTCACAAGAATTTAAGGCACAAGATCTGGTTTAAACAACTACCAGAGAGTTAGTGTGAAATATGTGAACTTGGTGTTAAGAATACAAAAGTAACTGGTCTGGTGGATGCCGAACTTTGTGCTTATGCTTCCTGGTCTTAGTGTAAAAGAAATAAATAACGATAAAGGACGTTTAAGTAAAGTGTTTCCACATGCTTCATTTATGACCCTAGGAAGTAACTTAAGGCTAGGAACATCATTCAGACATGGTGACTTCTTTGACTGCCATTGTAGTTGTTCTAACTGCACTAAGGAAGACTCATATAGACAACAGGAAGGGTGTGTCTGCATTTTTCTGTGGCATCTTTGTTGTGTAGGAATAAGTACATGAGATC